AAAGAAGGAAGAAAACAAGGGAAGAAGGAAGAGAGAGAAAGGAGGAATCTTTGCAAAATAAGAATCCTATACAGTAAGTGAATTCCAATGTACTTCCTAAAAGTAACAGACTGTGATATAATCACGGGACCTAAAGTGTTAACATTCTAAATATTTTTGAAGGCTTGTAAATTTGAAAGAGAATATAAAGTTGTCAAGACCTATTTGCACCCCTGGTATTAGAATAAAACTGACCAGGTAATATAGTCACTGTATACAAAGCACATACCTCTGCGTGTTCTAACGTTTCCATGCAAAATAGACCTACAATGTCATAGGTCATGAACACATGTCAAGGAAAACACTCATCTTTCTGTGAAAGGAACCAGAAATAGCAATGAGAAATAATCGCACTGCAAACTGTTTTAATTTCAGCGATTTGTTTCTTATTAAACAAATGCCAAAACTTGATTTTATACATCGATTCACCCATCCCTTTGTGTAAAATGGGTTGATTTTATGATGCTCCATGTGTTTATAAGCAAGGATCCTAAGATAAATTTTCAGATTTCCTTTCTCTGGTAGAGCATTTGTCCCTATGTGATCTGGATATTTTGCCCACAGTTCCAGGAAATGTGACTGGCTGGAAAAATGTTTGCAGCTCAACTTTCTGGGGTAGAAAGTTAAATGGTGCTTCACAAGTCAGCTGACACAGAACCTCTCACACACAGGAATAGGTCAAGGGCAGGTCAGTGCAAGCATTTCCCCTTTACTCTAGCATCGTCTCCTGCCTGGCCCTCCTGAAATCTTCCAGAGAAGTCCTCTAGAATGTAGCTCTCTTCTGCATCGAGAGAGTCAGGTTAAATTAAGTTGGTTCCGGGCAGTGCTTGTGGCTCAAAGGAGTAGGGCGCTGGCCCCATATGCCAGAGGTGGCGGGTTCAAACCCAGCCGCGGCCAAAAACTGCAAAAAAAAAAAAGAGTAAGAAAGAAAAAAATTAAGTTGGTTCCCCAACACATACTAAGGTATGTGTTTTCAGTGTTTCAAAGGGTCAAGTAAAAGGCTCAAGATTTAGTTTCTTATCATCAAGATGAGATACTGTGGTGTATGAAGGAGGCTGAACTTCAGGTCGATGATAATACACACATGCTCTCTCTTCAAAGCTTTGCACTATTTGAGACCTAGACCCAAGTATTCCCTGGTGATCACCAGCTTAATTGCCTGTGAGACTGAGCAGGAGCTCACATTCGATCTGAAATCAAATAGGCAGGCTACCTTATATTTTGTCTCAAGTTAAAATGGTGAGATCCAAGGCTTGAGTCTGATTTGCAGAGCTGGTGCTTGCTCCACAAGCCACAAGGGAAACCACACCCTTCCCATATCTGGGGACAGGGAATCCTGGGGAGGGGTGGGGTAGACAGGAAGGCCCCACGTGTTCTGACCCTTAACTTTGCTGACTACTGTCAAGTAGGATCTCATCAATCAAATAAATCTTCCCCTCCTATGAGATTAGAAGGAAGGTAGGAACTCTTATTAATGATTCTGTCAGGGCAGAAGTGACCCTATTTTGGGTTGCAGGGCAGAACAAGGGTAGGAGAACAAGTGGACACTAGACCCTGGACACTGACTCTTAGCTTTGAACTCTTCTATCACTTGTTGGGCGACTTTAGAAAGGTTCTTTTAACCTCTCTAAGCCTCAGTTTTTTCAAAAGTAAAATAAGAAAAATAATAGTCCTTTTTTTCCACAGTGTGGTTGTTTTTCATGGCGTGGCTTTAAGAAGAAGTCTTTAGCACAATGCATGGGCCATCCTTTGGAGAGAGGGCAGAGTTTTTTTTTAATTTTTTAGACCAGTCATTATGTTTAATCTGTTTTCATTTCTGAAATTTCCCAGTATTTTGAATATATTTCCTAGTCTTTTCTTTTAAATAATGTTACTGAGATCAAGTTGATAAACAAAAAACAGCATGTGTTACTATGCATAATTGGGTGAGTTTGGACATACTCTCTTACTAATAGGGGAAAGCTTTAAGACTATGAATTTGCCCTCTGAGTAAGACTTTGGCTATACCCTCCACATTTAGTCATGCGATGTTTTGTAGTAGTTTTGTAATGTGGTATTTTTTAATGAATGATCATTGCAATTTTGATTTTCTCTTTAATATTTTAACCCTTGTATACTGAGGGTTAGGGTTTAAAGAGAACCACCTTTTCTTTTCTCTGCATCTGTGCTTAAATTTCTTGATTTATACTCATGCTTCTCCACTTTAGTGCTGGCACACAGAAGGAACCAAATCTGTTGAAATAGTATGATGTAGGCAAAGATAAGCAACTTTCTGCTTATCTTTCAAAAACTGAGTGGCCATTTTATGGAGAGGGAATTGAGAGAGTCACAATCCTGATACATCCTCAGCTATACTGGGCCCACACTCACCCAGATGACAGAGAACATCGGTCTTGAGGAAACATATGATGCTTCATGGTGTTTATCTCTTGTCTCAGTCCCACCATGAAGGTGAAGCTAAAGTTAAAAGCTATTAATGAAGTTTGTTTCCTTGGTGGGCTGCTTCCCATGGGGCCAGCTTGCAAAGTGCTCTGGGCAATTGGAAAAGTGTTCTGGGGAAAGACTGGGACTCTTTCAATTATACTGAGGGAGTGATAATGAGAACTTAAATGAGTTGAGATAAAGAGAACAATTATTAGGATAGTTGAATATCAACATTTTAATATATTTTTAAAATTGTAAATGTTGGATTGGTTTTATTCAAAAGATTAATTCTTGGGTTCAGCCAAAGACTTTCTTGGATTTAATTTTTGGTTTCCTAGTTCATAATTCCTGTATTTTCTATGTTATGTCTTTTATTTTTCCTGCTTATTTTTCCAAATAATTAAAGTGACTACTCAGTCCATTTATTTTTATTCTCTCTTACTAATAAGGGAAAGCTTTAAGACTATGAATTTGCCCTCTGAGTAAGATTTTGGCTATACCCTCCACATTTAGTCATGCGATGTTTTGTAGTAGTTTTGTAATGCGGTATTTTTTAATGAATGATCATTGCAATTTTGATTTTCTCTTTAATATTTTTATATAAGAGAATGTCTTTTTATTATTAGTATCTGTTTAATCCATTTTAAAATGTTAATGTCATTATTCATTGATGGATCAACTATATATTAGTGAGAAAATGTTAGTGAGATAATAATAGCTTTTATAAACTCATTAAGATTTTCTTTTCTAGGATAATATATTAACAATATTTGAGAGCATACTGTGGAAACATGAAAGGGGGATATGGGGCCTGTTTTTCAGATACCCTCTCACATACTAAAACATATATAAAATATGGTACATATGTATATATATTTAATATAGGCATAAATATTAGATACAAATATATATGCATATATGTATATGTATACATATGCATATGTAGTAGTAAAATATAATTAATTTTGTGGTTCGCATTTTCACTGACTTTATTTTTGATCTATGTTATCTATCAAAAACTGATACAGGTTATGTTTGTGTTTCTTTTGCACTAATGATTTGAAAGGCAAACATTTGTTTTTGATTTACTAATGGTCATCTGTAAATTTTCCAAAGCTATTATTTGAATTATTTTTCTATAATTATCAAAACAAAATATATGATTTCCCCTTAAGTAATACTTATAATTTAGAATGCCTTTACTTGCTACTCACTTTGCAACTAAGATCTTTATTAATATAATCTGGGGCTAAATTGGTCTTTGTATAAAGTATATTTTCTACATAAAAGGTAACATTTGCTTGTCTTATAACCATATTTAATTATTTAGAGGTAATTCCAATTTGTAAGTTTAATACCAATCACCAGTTCTAATGTGTCATTATTTCCTAATTTTTTCAACTTTAAGCTTTTTTTTAAATTATTAAATCATAGCTGTGTATATTAGTGCAATCATGGGGTACAAGGTGCTGGTTTTACACACAATCTGAAATGCTTTCATCAAACTGGTCAACATAGTCTTCACAGCATTTTCTTAGTTATTAAGACATTTATATTCTACACCTGGTAAATTTCACATGTACCCTTGTAAGATGCACTGTAGGTGTGGTCCCACCAACTACTCTCCCTCCAGCCATCCTCCCCCCTCCCCTCTCCTTTCTCCTTTTTGGGCTATAATTGGGTACTTTACCTCTTACGTGTTTACATGGATGGAGCTGGAACATAGTCTTCTTAGCAAAGTAGCTCAAGAATGGAAGAAAAAGTATCCAAAGTACTCAGTCTTACTATGAAACCAATTTATAGCTTTCTTATGAAACCTAATTTTTTTTATTTGTACAAATTTCTGGAGTACACAGGAAATTTTGTTACATGTGTAGATTCTATAGCGATCAAGTTAGGGCTTTTAGGATATCCTTCCCCCAAATAAAGTACTTTGTACCTGTTAACCAATTTCTCATCATCCTCCTTTCTCTTACTCCCTCACCATTTATCTGTCATTTCATTCTCTCTACATCCACGTGAACACATTTTTCATACCCGCTTGTGGGTGAGAACATGTGGTATCTGTCTTTCTGTGCCTAGATTGTTTTGCTTCACTGACTTTCAGTTTCATCCATGCTGCCACAAGGCATGATGTCATTCTTTCTTGTGGCACAATGGTATGCCCTTGCGTACATACACCACATTTTCTTATCCAGTCATCCACTGATGGACACTTAGGTTGATTCCTTATCTTTGCTATTGTGAATAGTGCTGTGATAAACATATGAGTACAAATATCTTTTTGATATATTGATTTCTTTTCCTTCAGGTAGATGCCCAGTTGTGGGATTTCTGGATTGAATGGTAGTTCTATTTTTACTTCTTTGAGAAGTCTCCATACTGCTTTCCATAGAGGCTGTAATAATTTACATTCCCACTAATAGCATATGAGTTTCCTTTTCTCCACATCCTAAGCCAACATCTGTATTTCTTGTCATTTTAATAAGAGCCATTGCCATTTTGACTGTGGTAAGACGCTATCTCACTGTGGTTTTGATTCGCATTTTTCCAATAATTAGTTATATTGAGCATTTTTTCATATGTATGCCATTTGTATGTCTTCTTTTCAATTAGCAATAATCGTACCTTGGATAAACCTCATTGGCTACGATACTGCCACTGAGCAAAGCTGTATGCCTTCTTTTGAAAAATGCCTATTCATGTCCTTGGCCCACTTTTTAATGGGATTATTTGGGGGCTTTATTGTCGTTGAGTTGTTTGAGTTCCTTGTATATTCTGGACCTTAGTCTTTTGTCAGGTGAATAGTTTGCAATATTTTCTCTTGTTCAACAAGTTATTCTTTTACTCTGTTGATTATTTCTTTTTCTGTGCAGAAGCTTTTTAGTTAAGTCCCATTTATCTATTTTTGTTTTTTGAGGTCTTAGCCATAAACTCTTTGCCTAGACCAATGTTCACAAGAGTTTTCCCTAAATTTTCTTCTAATATTTTAATAGTTTCAGGCCTTAATCTAAATCTTTAATCCATCATGGGATGATTTTTGTATATGGTGAGAGAAGAGGTTTCAGTTCCAAGAAACAGCGCAAGTTTCCTAACACTGAGCGCCCATGCAGCTGCATCCCGGGACAAAACTCAGTCTGGTCAAAAGCTAAAACCAAGGATAGCATCTTGCTGTAGCCACTTAGGTTTCAGGGCTGTGGGACCAAGGGCCTGTTCCCTCCTTGGAGCAGTTCCTTCTCACAGGCATCCAGGCACTCCCAAAGTTAGATTCTAGGCTTGGTAAGATCAAGATGCTCCCCTGTGGCCTGGATTGTGAAATTCCCCAGTGGGGAAGTGGACCAGAGAAAGTCTCTCATTCACTGTCTCCCCAAGGGCTCCCAGCTGGCCCCAGCCACCAAGCTGCCCTTTTTCTTCCTTCTTCCCAGTTTTTTGGGATTCTGGCCACATTTTTGTTTGGTCCTGTGATCCTTCTTGGATAATGTATTCCAAGTGTGATTGTCTGCACACTATTTTCTTTCTCCTCATGGAGGTAGTATGCATAAAATGATTCTAGTCTACTCTCTTGAAAAAAAAATTTTTAAACCCTATTTCTTAGTTTTTAAGTTTTTCTTATTCATTCATTTTTCAGTTTTCTGGAGTATATCAGCAAGAAAAATTTTCAAGATGCAAATGTAAGTAACTTGTTTTTTAAGCTATGACATATTTGGAAATGCTTTTATACCAAAAATAACTGGCTATGACATCTGCACACTTAACATTTTTGTCTAAAACTCTGTGGACTCTGCCCTAGGATGATCTGGCTTTATAGCATTAAAGATAATTCTGCAGCAGACATAAATATAGTCTTGTGTTTTGATTTGTTTGTTAGTACAGATCAGATGCCTCTTCTGCCTTCCCACCCTATCATGCCAACATGGAGCTGAAGGGTAGGGACCCAGAAGAAGGGCTAAAGTTACTTTTTTAATTTCCTATGATCTCAGCACAAAATGGCCTTGTTATAGAAATTCAGTTAAAACTTTGATTCATGCCCTCATTGGATTTTACCTGCATGAAACACAGGCAGGGATATACATGGTTGCTACACGGATACTTATACATAACTAAAGAGAAGACTGGGCAATCTATTCCACTGCTGAAGGAAAGACCACAGGAAAAATGTAGGCAAGCATCACATCCAGAGGGAACTATGAAGTCCCGTGAAGAAGTTCAGGCTCTAATCCTTTTTCATGCCTGACCCTGTGTCTTCAAATAACAGGATCTGGAATATATTGGTTTTTATTTTCTTGAATTACTTTAGTTATTCTTTCAGACATTCAGTCAACAAAAATAAATAAAACATGATCTCTGGCCTCAGGTTGCTTAAGCCATACAGACGAGAAAGTGAGCAATTGTATAAAAATTTCACAATGTGTAAACATCAAGTATAAAAAGCACTTTACAGCGTCCAGATTGCCTGTTGATCAAGGGTGGAGATGCAGATGTTCAGGAGTGAGTTCTGATCAAGTTCTCTGTACCCAGAGGCAACCAAAGAGAGGTTGGGGAACCATTTGTTCAGTTCTGAACTTATATGAGAAAGAATGGATTTAAATAATAGCATCTCGGAATATCACTAACTCAGGTGCCCCTCTCCTCATAATCTTTACATCTCATTCAATCTTCCTGGGTTCTCCCCAAATCTTCAGCATTGTCAATGCCCCCCTGCACCTTGTGGTCCAGCCATCCCAGCCACTTAGGAGGCTTGTACCTGTACTGTAACTACTTCTCTATACAAATGTTCTTGCATCTGGGAGGAGTCAGCTGCAAAACAAAACAAAAACAAAAACACCACAAAACAAACAAAAAAACTAAACAGGAATGAATCTTAAAAGTTTTATGTAATAGATATTGAAGTCTACCTGTCATTCCATTAACTTGAGTTTACTCAGGAAGGTAGAATGATTATCATTACTTTCCTTATATATCACCATACAATTCGACCTGTTGCCGCCAGCATGTAATGTTGTATTTTCATTATTAAGAAAGTTACTGAAGGAAAAGAAAAGAGAAGAGAGAGAAGAGAGGGGAGGGAAGGGGAGGAGGAAGGGGAAGGAAAGGGAAGACAAAAGAAGAGAAGAGAAGGGAAGAGAAGAGAAGAGAGAGAAAATTTTAAAAAAGAAACCAAAGTTCTATGTATCCTGCTACAGTGTTGTGCCCAGAGAGATACCATGACTATTTGTTGAACAGACTATTTTCTGATCACCCACCTTGGCTTCTCCCCTCTGGGTTCACCTCTGTTTTCTCCTCTCTGCCCACCATGCTCAGACAAGGCAAAACCATAGCATCATTACCACTTAATTTTATTCTGCTTACTCTGGTCCCACCAGACCAAGTATCCTCTCAAACCCATGGAAGACTATTATTTGTTTCCCTACTCCCTCCTGCCCCCCCCCCACTTCCAAAGAGCTAAAACCCACAGATAACAGAGGGAAGTTTCCTTCCAGGCTGAGAGTCCCTGGATGCAAGGCAAATCTATCACGCCAGCTGCCAGCCTGCTGCAGACTGGACTCCCTTCGTGGTTTCAGGCTGAGGGCCGAGCTCTTCCTTCAACATGGATCTTGAAGAGCTTCCCAGCTGCCCAAAGCCCCAATTTCCTCCACCGCACACAGATGCTGCTGAGTCAGGCCTTGCCCTGGCACAATGATGAAGGGATTGATTCTGTCTTTGGTTCCACTCCAGCCTCCCCCTCAAGCCCTCCAGCCCACTTCTGGACCATCCTGGGCACTGTTTCCTCTTCTCTGCCCAGTGACCCAGGGATCACTCTTCCATTCCCACTGAAACTGCAGAGAAAAGTCGGCTGTGGGTAGTAAGGCCCCAGAGGCAGAGCTGTGCAAATTTGCACAAGTGTCTCGATCTCTCATAAAGGCAGAAGGGTGGGGAGCTACAGAGACCAGCAGGGCAATTTGCCAGTGCATGCTGGACACGCCATGGCCTCTAGCCCATCTGTAAAATGAGCACAAGAATGAGTGCTCACAGGGGAGAGGGGAGAGTTAATGAATCGGCATATGGTGCTCACTTCATGCCCGGCACAAGCTCTTCACAGTATTTCATTTCCACGAGGCCTTGCTCCCTGGTAATTCCTTTGCCTCCCTTTGCTCATGCCTCCAGCTAAACCCGAGGTAGGCTTAATAGGAGAGTCAGGTAACAGCTGTGCTTTCTTGCACTGATCGCCTTCTGAGACATGACTCTTGCCTTTGTTATCGAGCCTGCCATGCGGAGAGAGAGAGGCAAATACTTGTGGATTTGTGGAGACTGCCAGGCACAAGATATCTGATACGTGGGAGTCTCCAGCTCTGCTGATGGAGGAATCTCTCATCACCTCCTCACAATCTGATCTTTGTCTCCTTTACCAAAAGTGAATAATATCTTACCTCGTCTTTTCACCAAGTCCATTAACGGGATCTTAAAATCTATCTCCCAGAGATGGGTCTGCTCCAGTCACACATCACTTAAGCCTGTGTCTGGCAAGTTACATTCTTCTTGTGAAGAAAGGAATTAAGATGAGAGAAAAAGAAACTAACAAGAGAAAAGAAAGCCCCAGGGGAAGCATGCATCTAGCAAAACACAAGATGGGGAAAATGCTAGGGTGCTCCATAAATGCTCAACAGACAAACAGATTCATTTCCATTTCCAAAGGGCCTGAGGTTCCCAGACTGAATGCTGGAGTCCAGACTTTATCCTTGGATGAGTCTCTTCTATATTAACAAGATGAATGGGGTGCTTGAGGGGATGAGAATGCAGAGAGGAGAAGGACAAGCCCAGTAACATGCTTTCCTTGGAGTGCTCCTCAGGTAGGCTTCATTCAAGCTCAATTTATTGAGCATGTACTATTTGCCAGGCACTCGGCACCTTGGTGGTATTAACTCATCTAATCTTCATAGTGGGACCATGAGAAAGGCACTGTGATGACCCCCATTGTCATGTAGAGCTGAGGAACATGGGTCTTGCAAGATGATGGAACTAACCCACAGACACACGGCCAGGTGCTGACAAGGCTAGGATTTGGGCACAGACCACTGCTCTAACCATTCCACCATGAGGCCTCTTCTGCTGTCAGCTCCCAGTGTGACCTTGCAGGACTTGTACCTGGCTTTGGGTCTCTCGTTCCTTCTCAAATAGAATGAAGAGAGTGAATGGGATACTCTCTACCTTTCTTCTACCTTCATTCCATTCTAATTCCTCTTTCCTACTCTACTACAAAGGGGGAAAAATTAAATAAAATCCAATTTCCAATTCCTAGGAGAGTTAGTAAGATTCCACCCTAAAAATTAAATAAGTAAATATCTGTTGGCATCCCCAGACTTCCCACAAAATCAGAAATTTTCTTACAAGTTCTCATCCCACCCTACCCCTTTATTCCCCCGCTCCCTGCCATTGGTATAGACAAAGTCATATAATGTCACAGACAGAAAAACTTCTTCCTTTGTTTTGAAGCTCACAGCAGGCTGTAGTCCTATCCATGATCTCTGAAATACTTTTCCAGAACACCCCTTTTTCCTAATTTTTACCCAGGCATTCTACTTTCCTGATGCCCACAGACAGGCTTGGGCAAGACACCAACAAGTCATGTTTATAAAAATAATTTTCATTTCCCTTCTTACATCCCAAATGAAAGAGGAAGGAACTAACTTCATTTA